TGAACTATTCAAAATTTATTTATAAACAAAAGTATGAGATGAGTGTAGGTATCTGGGGAAGCAGTAGTGTTATCTCTTCTATTACGCTGGGGAAGCTTTCCCTCCCTCACATTGAACCACAAGTGATTACATGGATTATCTCATTTCATTTTCTCAATGACTTTATGGGTTAGGTATAATTATTATAACAGCCATCTTGTGAATAAGGACACTAAGGTAAGAGCTACATAGCTAGAGAATTTAGGAGATCTTTAAATTAGATTAAAATGAGGCTCATACCAATTTGGAATATATATACATGTAGATAAAGATATGAGTATGGAAATAGATGCATAGACATATATGCACTGTGCTTTTTTGTTTTAGTAATATATGTATTTCAGAGTCTTTCATGTCAGCAGAGATAGAACTTTGTAATCATTGCATAAAATTATGTATACATATGTATCATAATTTAGTAAGACATTTTCTCTATCAGTGGACATTTATAGACATTTCCAAGCTTTATAGACTTGAGCTTTACACATAGTGCTGTGATGAACTCTCATGCATGTACATCCTCGTGCACATTTGCAAATATCTCTTTAAATACATGGATGTAGAATTATTGGGTCAAAGGCATTGACATTTAAAATCTTGATAGATGTTCTCAAATTATGCTTTTTCCCCTTGCTTTTCCAAAGGTGTTCTTTACCTATATTCTCATGAACACTGGATGTTGCAGTATTTTTTTCAACCATTCTGTGGGTGAATTCCTGGTATTTTCTTGTACTTGACATTTGCTTAATTTTTAATGAAGCTGAGCATCTTAATATCATTTATTGAACATTAATATTTCTTTGTTGAATTCTAATTAATTTCCTTTTCCCTACTTACACATGCAGTTGTTTGAAGTGGAAAGCTCTTTGTATATTATACATATTCATATTTCATCTTAATATTTAGCTATTTTTCCTCCTAATATTTGGTTTTTCTTATAATTTAATTATGGTTTATTTTGTAGTCTAGAAAGTTTTAGCATTGAATTTTAATCACATAGCTTGTTTATTTCTTTTGAGATTCTGGGATCTGTGGCTTTGTAGGAACAGTCCATCTAGCCGATTGAACATCGTCCGATATTTCCTTTAGCACTTTTAAAGTTTACAGGTTTTTTTTGTCCTTAACCAATTGAAATTTTACTTTTGTTATTGATATGAAATAGGATTTTCTTTCAGATAGATATTCCATTCTTCCCCTCCTATTTTTTGAATAGATCACCCTAACTAATTTGAATAGAAAAGTAGAGGAGCAGAACAGAATAGAATCCAAAAATAGATCTGCCTCAGAGCCCAAACTACATAGCTTTAATAAATGAAGTTTTATTGTATGTTTGATATCTTACAGGATCTGATTCCATTCTATTCTTCTATTGAAACAGTTTGTTAGTGTTATGTGAAGAAAAGTATGAGTGGGATTTTAATTTTGACTGCCCTGTATTCATAAATTAAATTGCAGCAAGGTAACATTTACAGTAATTTAGGAGCATAGATGCCTTTACAGTATTAAGATTTTTATGCAGGAACATAGTATGCCATTATACATATTTAGGACTTTTGTATTTTTCAGTTAAATTTTATAGAGAAGGATAGCATTGCACATTTATAATTAACAATTCCTGGGTGTTTTATAAGTTTCTGATCTTTTCTGTTATACTTTCTAAACTACTGTGGGATTTTAAATTTATTTATTTATTTATTTATTTATTTATTTATTTATTTTTATTATAATTCGGTTAATTAACATATATGTCTCCCAGTTTCCCCATGTGTCCACCCCTCTCCCCTCTACCGACTCTGAGTTTTTTTCCTATGATTAAGAGTCTCTTACAGTTTGTCTCCCTCTCTGATTTTGTCTTGTTTTATTCTTCCCTCCCTACATGTTTTTTTTAAGATTTTTATTTATTATTTGAGAGAGACAGAGACACAGAGAGCATGAGCAGGGCAGACGGAGAGAAGCAGATTCTTCACGGAGCTGGGAGTCAGATTTTTGTAGCTCCATCCTAGGACCCTGGAATAGTGGCCTGACCTGGAGGCAGATGTCTAATGGAGGAGCCACCAAGCATCCCTTGTAGTTTTTTAAAATTTTATTATTTTTATTACTTTACAGAACTCTTACTAGTTCTAATAATGTTTATGTTAAATCTTTGGGATTCTACAAGTAAAGGATAGCATAATCTGCACCTAATGAATTCTGGCTTTTCTTTTTCAATTATTTATAGGTTTTTTTCCTATGTACCCACATAATTTACCAATCTATGAGCAAGCTAAAGATGAAAAGTATCATACATTATTTCTTTTCTACAGAATCAAATGGTGATACAGTCATCTGATTGCTCGATGCCTCCAAAATTACTTAAAATACCATTTTCTAAAAAAATAAAATAAAAAAATACCATTTTCTAGTATGGAGTCATACAGTTATTGTTTTATTTAATTTTAGGATACCCTCAAATGAACTTTACTTACAAACCAGACCAATTGAGGAAGAACACTTGATATCAGAGTGTTTTGGGATCCTGCAAAAAGTCAAGAGGTGTTAATTTATTTGAAACAGTTGTTCCATACTTCCATTTTACACACACACACACACCCATGCATGCACGTGCACACACACACACACACACGCATGCATGTATACACACATATTTGTTTATTCACATGCTATGTGGTAGCAGAATTGAGCTATGTTCCAGAGTGGATGTCATTTACATATTTGTTCTGTAATCACTATGTATTCTTGGGTGTCTAGCAGATGTGGACAGATAGCAGAAATCAATCATTAATGGAATGATTTCCAGTCATATCCACTGATAGTTTGCAGGACATGTAAATTCCAGATCCAGCCAAGTGTTTTTTTTTTTTTTAAGATTTTATTTATTTATTCATGGGAGACACACACACAGAGAGAGGCAGAGACACAGGCAGAGGGAGAAGTAGGCTCCACGCAGGGAGCCCGACATGGGACTCGATCCCCGGTCTCCAGGATCACGCCCTGGGTTGAAGGCGGCGCTAAACCGCTGAGCCATCCGGGCTGCCCCTGGCCAAGTGTTTTTGCGTGTTGTTAAAGTTTGCTCCACTAGGCATATTGCTTTGTGTCTACTCAGCTGTCTGTGTTTTCTAAAAGATACAGATATGGAAATTTTTTGTCTAGGATCTTCTATTTGAAATATGCTTTCTACCTCTTCTACACTCAAATATATGAATCCTTGTTTATTCTTTCAGACTCAGATCAAATATTTTGCCCTTCATGAAATTCTTCCCTTTCTCAGGCAAATAAGAAAGATTACTTGGCATATTCTTCTATTACGTTGGTTATCACATTATACTGTAGTCATTTACATTGATTTCTGTGTCCCTACTAAGCTGTGAGTTACTTGAGGCCGTCTGTACTTTCTCCAATGTCCATGCAGCACAATGTCTGACTTAGAGGTGGGACCCAGTAAATTTTTGATGAATGAATAAATGTGAATAAGTGATTACCAAAACATATAAGGGAAGTGAAGGATCAAAAGAGCTGTCTAAGAGAATGCCATCAATCTGTAAACTTAAAAATATTAAAGAGTTCTATGTGAGGGACACAGAGAGCATATTTTATGAAAATATTAATAAAAAAGCTACAAACCTTATAGTTTAGAAATATGCGTTATGATACAGTGATGTTTATTATGGTGGAGAAATGTAGGTGAGACCAAATGAGTGGCAAGAGGCCATGAAAACATGTTGAAAGTCAGGAAGAAAGACAGTATTCATCCTGGTACAAATACTATACATGACATGATTTTGATAAATGTATGCCATAGGAACCACACTACATCTGCTTCTATATATACAACATATATTCCTGGTTTATAGGTTACCATATATAGCATATGAGAGTTGCCAGTTTTCCAGTAATATGAATGTAAAACACACATGGGGCAGCAGGGCCAGCTTTATAGGTGATAGATTTGTTTTCTTTCATCTCTGACCTTCTGTTCTACTTTCTTTTTTTTTATTACAGCTTTTTATGTATTTATATAAAAAAACTTTTCCTCGATTTTAATATTTTGGGGACATTACAGAGTTATTTTTTCAGGCACAATTTAGAAACTTCATATTTATTAAATTTAATTGAAAAAGTCAAATTTTATTATATATGTTAATTGAACTTGATGAATTATATATTTCTTTCTTTTAGATACTCCTTATTGAATTAAGTAAGGGATGTTATACCTGTTTCCAGTTACTTTTCAAATTGCACAAATTCAGAAGAAATAAGGACAATCAGGTTTATTATGGCCACATCTGAAGACCATATTTAGTAATCTTTTGAATGGGTTAGGTCAGAAATAAAGAGCTGGTGATGTCCTAATTCTCTATAGCTCTTTACCAATATTTTGATAGTCATTTCATGGAAAGGCTCAATGAGAATCCTATGGATCTACATGCAAGTAAAATAAGAAATGACAAATGAGAGCTCAACACAGCTCAGTATAGTATAGAACATAATCACCTTCAGTGATTCCATGACTGAAATATAATTATAGTACTGACACACCACAACACCAGGGCTTGTGTAGGTCATAGCATGAAACGGATCCAGTGTGGGTGTTTGCTTAGTAGCTTCAAAGTCCTTCACCATAGTTTCATCAGAAACCAGCCGAGCATGCAGCTATTGTGTTATACTCTGATTCCATAAAAAGCAGTGAATATTGCTATTCAAATAATATATGCTGTGGCTACTGTTATCTCTCAAATTATTAAAAGTGTAGAATAACATGCATTTTAAAATGTAAGTCATTTTTATTCTGATTCAGTTTTCCTTAACATCTCTGTTGATTTTAAAGACAACAAAACAATTGTTTCAAAGAAATTCATTGCATAATATTTTTTAACTTACATAGTTTTAGGCACTTAGGTTTAAAAAAAAATTAGGAAAACCATGTTTCTATTTATCACCTCCTTGTTGACCTCCTACTACAGGTTTTCAGCACATACTCCAATGAAGACTATGACAGGAGGAACGATGAAGTGGATCCTGTGGCTGCTTCTGCCGAGTATGAACTTGAAAAGCGTGTAGAAAAGCTGGAGCTTTTCCCAGTGGAACTAGAGAAAGGTATATGTGCTCTACAATGTTTGTTATATCATTATATGGCTATTTTAATAACACAGAAATAACTTTATTTTTTTCATGTGTAGCCTCCCCCCTACCCCCCAACCCCGCCAAAGGATTGGATAAAGTTTTAATTCTCCTGGAGGATTTAATTTATTTCTTAAATTTCAAAAGTACTTGATACAAGCTCTGTGTAGATGGTAGACTGAAAGATTCTTTCTTCACTTCCACTTCTAACTGAAACCCATCTGCTTTAGTTGACTGGGCTGGTGACTAGGAGTAGGGAGCTGTGTGTGGGGCCTGATGTTTGGTCGGTACCCTGGCAATGGGCTAGTGCTGATGAGAGCCTAGTGGGAACAGGTAGAAGTTGAGGGTGGGGCAGATGGTTGTTTCTGCATTCTTGGCGGAGGTAGAGTGGTCATGGTTGGGCTCTGAATGTAGTAGATGGAGCGTTGGGCTTTTAGATTATGGATTTTGGAATGGAGACAGTGGAATTGTCTCTAAGGGGGAGAAGACTAAGAGAACAAGGAGAATGGGAGCAGAGGGGCTTCCTCTTGGAATCTCAGCCTGCTTGCATTGGGAAGTGAGGACCCATGGGACTAGACACTGCTGTGTTTATCGTGTTATAAGAGGGGCATCCGGGAACAGACTGGGGCCCAGTGGACAGGGAAAATATCACATCTCAGAGAGCTTTGCAAAAAAGCAGAACAAACAGATGACAACTTGAATGACCAAAAAAAAGCAAAAGAAAAACCAAATGAGGATACCAAATGGCTTTAAAAAGCCATTGTTAAGCAAATCAACAAACAACAAGAACATTGATTTTAAAATTAAAAATTTCAGTAGAGGAAGAGAGAAAGATGGTTGTTGAGACTCAAACTGGTGACCTATAAAGTGAAGCGTAAAAAATGAACCAAACTAATTCTTAAACGACAGAGCAAACATCCACGAAAAATCATGTTGGAGACCCAACATATAAGTGTAGGAAAAGACAATAGAGGATGAGAGACATTACACAAAACATGGAAGAAATTTCCCTGAGCTCAAAAGACCTGAGCCTCCTAATTGGAAGGACTCAGCCAATTGATTGAGAGAGGACTTCAAAAACACCCTGCATGTAGGCGTAGCCTGCAAAAGTCCTCGTCTTCAACATAAAGTAAAATTCTGAAAAATACTACACTAAAAGCAAATAAAGAAGCAAAAAGTACTTGGAAAAGCAACATTATTTGACTAGCATCAGAATTCTTGTAACACTGGAAGTGAGAGGCATACATTATAATTTCACACATCCAAAAACCCTATGTCTGTCCCAGAGAGCATTTACCTCTCATGGTAAAAGAAGGAAAATTGCTGATATCTAAAGGTCTAAGGAACACATCACCTGCATACTCACTCCCCAGTTAGCAAGGAGGAGGAAAAAAACAGAGTAACTTGTTCTAAATAGCAAGGGTGAGGGAAAAAGAGTTGAAAACTGTTACTATTAGGCATAAAATTACTTGGATTAAAAATACAAAGAAAAAAAATACAAAGAATACCAATCATTATGCTAAACATGAGTGATTGTTCTCATTAAGAGATACTTTCCTTTGGGGTTAAGAAGGATGAAAGAGAGATAGTTATATTTTTCATTCATTTAAAAATGTAAAAACCATTCTTAGTTTATGGCCCTTACAAAAAACAGCTGGATTTGGCTGTGGGCCATTGTATTGCTTATAATAGCAAAAACGAGAATAATCCAAATATTCATTAATGATAGAAAAGGGTAAAATGAAGGAGCTTCAGTTTCATGCAGCAGTATGTATGATTCTTACAGATACGAAATTCAGGGGAGAAAACAAATAAATCACAGAAGAAGCCATTCAGTCTAGATCCATTTATTTAAATTTCAAAGCCAGGAAAAATTAAATGGCATATTATTTAGAGATACACAAATAAGTAGTTTTAAAAAGCAGTATTTATAAAAGAAGGGAACGATTGACATAATATTTAGGATAGTGGTTATCAAGGGAAAAGTTATGATATCAAGGAGGGGTGCATAGTGGGCTTTTTGGGTGTTGTTAATGTTCTGTGTTTTTGTTATTAGTATGTGGATATTTGTTTTATTTTTCTTCTTTAAACACAGTGTTTTGTAGATAAAAGTTTTCGTAAACTCTTTTGTTTGCAATTTTCACAAAATAAAAGTTAAACTAGAAAAATTAAGCTAGGAAAAAACCTAATGAAGTAGAATGATTTTTAATTTTTTGAGAAACTTCCATACTGTTTCCTGGAAGTGGCTGCACTAGTTTGCGTTTCCGGCAACAAGGCACAAGTATTTCCCTTACTCTGCGTCTTTGCCAACACTTATTATCTCTTGTTTTTTGGTTGATAGTCATTCTAACATTCTGACTCTAATAAGGTGATTTCTCATTGTGATTTTGATTTACATTTCCCTGATGATTAGTGATGTTGAATACCTTTTCATGTAACTGATTGCCATTTGTATGTCTTCTTTGGAAAAATGTCTGTTCACTTTCTCAGTCTATTTTTAATCGGATTTGGTTTTTTGCTGTTGAGTTGCGTGAGTTCTTTTATATTTTGGATATTAACCCCTTATCAAATATTTTCTTCCATTCTGTAGGCTGTCTTCATTCTGTTAATGATTTCCATTGCTGTGCAGAGGTTTTTTAGTTTCATAGAGTTTTACTCATTTATTTGTACTTTTGGTGTTAAATCCAAAAAGTCATTGCCAAGATTGATATCAAGAAACTTACCTGCTATGTTTTCTGCCAAGATTGATATCAAGAAACTTACCTGCTATGTTTTCTGCTATGTTTTTCTGCTATGTTTATGGTTTCAAGTCTTAAATCTAAGTCTTTAATCCATTTTCAGTTTATTTTTGCGTAGAGTAGATCAGGGACCAGTTTCATTCTTTCATATGTGTCTGTCCAATTTTCCCAGCATCATTTATTGAAGTGGCCATCCTTCGCTATAGTGTATTCTTGGCTTCTTTGTCATAAATTGACCAAAGATGCATGGGTTTATTTCAGTGCAGTGTATTCTGTTCCACTGATCTATGTGTCTCTTTTAATAGTCGTACCATACTATTTTGATTGCTGTTGCTTTGTAATACAGTTTAAAACCAAGAAGTGTTGAGGCTTCTAGCTTTGTTCTTCTTTCTCAAGTTTGCTTTAGCTATTTGGAATTTTTTGTGGTTCTATACAAATTTTAGGGTTGTCTGTTCTATTTCTGTGAAAAAATATCATTGAATTTTTCATAGAGGTAGAAGTGAATTTATAGATTGTTTTGGGTAGTATGGACATTTTAACAATATTAATTCTTTGAATCCTTGAGTGTGGACAATCTTTCCACTTACTTATGTCTTCAGTTTCCTTCATCAGTGTCTTACAACTTTCACTATGCATATCTTTCAACTCCTTGGTTAAGTTAATTCCTAGGTATTTTATTCTTTTTGATGCAATTGTGAATGGAATTCTTTGTTTTTTAAGATTTATTTATTTATTTTTATAGAAAGAGAGGGAGAGTTGAGTGGTGGGGAGGGGCAAAGGGAGAGGGAGAGAGAATCTTAAGCAGACTCCATGCCCAGCACAGAGCCTAATGCAGGGCTCGGTCTCACGACTCTGAGATCATGACCTGAGCCAAAATAGTCAGATGCTTAATCAACTGAGCCACCCAGGCACTTCTGGAATTATTTTCTTAATTTTTCTTTCTGATAGTTCATTGTTAGTATATGAAGACCTAAATATGATACAAACTATAGATTATAATACCAACAGAGAATTTTACTTTTCAATTGAGGAAACACTTAAAAAATAAATAAATTGAGGAAGCACTAAAAATATTTCCATTAAAACCAAGAGTCTGAATTTAATTGTAACAATAAAATATATTTTTATTTATTAAAAAAAAACGGGTGTCTGATTTGGAATGCTCTTTAAATGAAATAATTAGTACAAACAATAGGAAACAAAAGATGAAAAGTAACTTATATTAAAACTGATGAGAGTACGTGTAAGAGGAGGTCAGGTGCCACGTACATGTTAGAAAATTAATAGTTTTTTTCTCTATATTAAGAACATAAATATGAAAATGGGAACATTCATTTATAGAAGCACAAAAACAACAAAATACTTATTAATCACTAAGAAAAACAGTATCTATCTGTTGAAAGTCCATCTTTTAGATAGATATAAGATGTGAGCAAGTAGTAGGATATACCATTTTCTTGGATGAAAAGACTCAGTATAGAATAGTCTCTCCTATTCATCTCTGATACCTGTAAATTAATATGTAAATTAAATGCAGTTCAAATATAACTGCCATCAGAGTTGGATTGGGAGAGAGGATTACATAATGTGATACTAAATATTATATGGAAAAATACAGACCTAAAGGAAGTATGAAAAAGAATATGAAAGGTTTTAATTTCTTAAATATCTGAATATAATGCAAAGCCTCTCTAATCAGAATAAATTGTATTCACACAGCAATTGATCAATGGGAGAAAGTAGAAAAGCCAGAGAAAGATGTTATTATGCATGAGAATTTAATACATGATATGTATGATATTCTAATTTAGGAGTAACAGGGTACTTTTCAAATTGTTCTGGCATAACAGCATCTGTGTGGAAGAATATAAAGTTGAACATCTTCATTTTCATTATATCATATTAAAAACAATTACATGGATTAGATAATGAAGTTTTAAAAATAAATTAATAAAGGTATTTGACAAAAAACTTATAAGACTGCATATATTATGTAGCGATGTTGGAGGAGGGGCTTAACCAACGTGGAAAACAGGAAGTTAGAAAAGAGGGACCAATCAATCCAAAATTTTAAGCTTTTAAAGGCAATATTATCAGACAAAGGCAATGGATAAATGATGAATTTGAGGAGAGGGAATCTTCATTATAAATGACATGGAGTTAAAATGGATAATTTGCTAAGAACTTTAAAAAAGAAAAAAGAGAGAAAACTCAGTAGAAAAAAATTGGCAGTTTACCAAAGAGGACATCGAATGGCCTATGCTTATATGAATACAAGCTCAAATCTCATTAGCAATAAGGGGAGTATAAAGCCAACATGAGCTTCTTTCTTTTTTTTCTTTTTTTTTTTTTTATAAATTAATTTTTATTGGTGTTCAATTTACCAACATACAGAATAACACCCAGTGCTCATCCCGTCAAGTGTACCCCTCAGTGCCCGTCACCCATTCACCCCCACCCCCCCACCCTCCTCCCCCTCCACCACCCCTAGTTCATTTCCCAGAGTTAGGAGTCTTTATGTTCTGTCTCCCTTTCTGATATTTCTCACACACTTCTTCTCCCTTCCCTTATATTCCCTTTCGCTATTATTCATATTCCCCAAATGAATGAGAACATACACTGTTTGTCCTTCTCCGGTTACTGTGGCCAAGTTAAAAAAGGGTGTTGCCTGAGTTCTTCTCTGGGATTTTGATGGAATCTTGTCTCACATTTAGATCTTTCATCTATTTTGAGTTTATCTTTGTGTATGGTGCAAGAGAGTGGTCCAGTTTCATTCTTCTGCATGTGGATGTCCAATTTTCCCAGCACCATTTATTGAAGAGACTGTCTTTCTTCTAGTGGATCGTCTTTCCTCCTTTATCGTATATTAGTTGAGCATAAAGTTCAGGGTCCACTTCTGGGTTCTCTGTTCTGTTCCATTGATCTATATGTCTGTTTTTGTGCCAGTACCACACTGTCTTGATGAACACAGCCTTCTGGTACAACCTGAAATCTGGCATTGCGATGCCCCCAGATATGGTTTTCTTTTTTTAAAATTCCCCTGGCTGTTTGGGGTCTTTTCTGATTCCACACAAATCTTAAAATAATTTGTTCTAAGTCTCTGAAGAAAGTCCATGGTATTTTGATAGGGATTGCATTATACGTGTAAATTGCCCTGGGTAACATTGACATTTTCACAATATTAATTCTGCCAATCCATGAGCATGGAATATTTTTCCATCTCTTTGTGTCTTCCTCAATTTCTTTCAGAAGTGTTCTGTAGTTTTTAGGGTATATTTTGAGAACCATTTGAATGGTAAATGGTTCTCCAACCTTTTATTTTCAGGTTGTAGGTGTCCTTCTGTCTAAAATGAGTCTCTTGTAGACAGCAAATAGATGGGTCCTGTTTTTTTATCCAGTCTGAAACTCTGCGCCTTTTGATGGGGTCATTAAGCCCATTCACGTTCAGAGTTACTTGAACTTCTTCTTAAAGGGGAGTTTCTTTCTTGAGAGAAAAAATAAGCTCTGAACTCCAGAGTGAGGTGACAGCATCTTCCATGGTAACCCACCCTCACAGTCTTCCACTGTTTCCTGGCTGCTTTGCCTGTCCCTAGGAGGGGATAGACAGAGGAAGACCAGGTGGCTGCTGCATTCTTAACAGTCACAAGAATCAGTGGCCTTCAGGGATATGGCTCTGGACTTCACCCACGCTTGACACATCTCACAGAAAGCTGTACAAAGATGAAATCAGTCATCTGGTCTCTGTGGGTTGATTGTATTCTTCCTTTAATTGTCTTTCAGTTATCATCTTGTCTTTCAGGTAGTCTGCAGTGGAATTGAGAATGGCTCAAGCTATTATTGCTTTTCCTACTATTGGGTTTTCAGCTCTGCAAATCTGAGTAATATTCCAGTGAGAGCAACAGAGTTGCTAAGGCAGGAAGAAAGATAGTTTTACTAAAGACTGAGTTGAGGCAGGGAAAATGCACTTAAAAACGAAGACATAATTTCCATGCAGGATATTTGTAGGAAGGAACTACTTAATGGCACGATGGTACAGATAATCTCCACATTTGAAAGGAGCCCTTTGAATGAACTGAGTATGGGAAAGTTTCACTTATAGCCCAACATTGGTTTGACATATGGTAATTCATAATGAAGAGAAACACCTATAAATACAGGGAATGTGAACAAGAAGTCAGCTAACTGCTTAATATATACCAGATTTCACATATGAGAGAAGCCCTCTGGCATTATTTAATGTGGACGAGTCTACAGTGACCATCTCTTAAACGACACAAGAGCAAACACTCTGGGAGGAACACTTACACTTATGTAAATGCTGTGGGAAGGTTTTGGGTCATCATTCATCCTTTCACCAGCATGAACAAATTCATACACCAGGAAACTCTAGGAATATGATGAATGCGGGCAAGAATTCAGCTGTATAGCTAACCTTTAATACACATAGGACAATTCCTGGGGGAGAGAAGAAACTTGGTACATGTGACCAGTGATGAAGAGCTGTTAGCACAGATCTAACTTTTCTTTGCCCAAGAGAACTCGTTCTGGGGAGAAACCCCAAATGTAGGAAAATTTTTAACCAGAGAAAGCCTCTGGATGAACATGAGTATCTATACTGGAGAAATAAGGAAAATGAAATAAGTATGGAAAATCACATGTGTACAAACATTGTAAATACAGGGAATGAAAGAACTTCTCCAGTGATGGCTCGAATACTAATTGCCATTAAAGTTCTCACCCTGAAGAGGGACCTATGCCTAAAATCACCTCTGCTAATATGGAAGTACCTTGATCTGGGGAGCACACTGAACAGTTCCTCCAGGGAGAAGAACTCTATGAAACTTTCTTTAGCACCCAACTGAAGAAACAAACCACACTTTTGCCGAATGACATGTATTTAAACATACGTGGTATACTGATATCAGATTACGAATTGTACTTAGAAACACTTAAAAACCAGAAGTCAGTGACAAGTAGTAATCATCAATGAGACGAACCCTATTCAAAAGATTACTAATTAAGAATATTAGCGTATTAAATGTTATTGCTAAAAAGTTTTCTAAAAGCATCAAGCATTCTGCTGACTGTATGAGCCAGTTTTTCTTTAAATAATCCTTCATGCCAGATAAGGGCAGCCTGGGTGGCTCAGCGGTTTAGCTCCACCTTCAGCCCAGGGCGTGATCCTGGAGACCCAGGATCTAGTCCCACATCGGGCTCCCTGCATGGAGCCTGCTTCTCCCTCTGCTTGTGTCTCTGCCTCTCTCTCTCTGTGTGTCTCTCATGAATAAATAAATATTTATAAAAAATAAATAACTTCACTTTTTTTAAAGATTTTATTTATTCATGAGACACACACACACACACACACACACACACACACACGGAGACATAGGCAGAGGGAGAAGCAGGCCCCCCACAGGGAGCCCCATGTGGGACTGGATCCAGGATTCTGGGATCACATCCTGAGTCAAAGGCAGACGCTCTACAGCTAAGCCACCCAGGCATCCCAACCTTCACTGTTGATTAGCAAGTGCCTGGGTTTTTGTTTTTTTGTTTTTTTTTTCAGCTAATACAACATGGTTCCAAAGACTTTGAGGCTATCAGAAAATAACTTTCAATATTAATAAAAAAATGTGGAATGTGAATGCTAACCAAAAATGTGGAATGTGAAATAATATATCTTTTATGTCGTTGATGTTAAAAATACATGTGTTCATGGAAAAGACAAATGGAAATATGGATAAACACATTATTGTAAATAAATTTAAAAACGTGTTTGTCAGTGTTGTCCACAGGGCAAGGAACATGGAAACATAAAACGAATGCCTGTCAGTAGAGAAGTGGTTGGATAAGTTATGATACCATCTCACCATGAAATATTATGCAATCATTAGAAGGGATTTAAGGCTATGTAAGTTGATATCCAGGAGGTACCACTGAATTAAAAAAGTAAGATGCAGAGAAACCTAGATATAATACAATTTTATTTGTATAAAGCATAGGAAGGAAAAATAAGCCATTTCATATATACAGATAGACATATATGTATGTATATTTATATTTATGTATATATACATATATATTGTAGCTGATGCTTTATATGCTTGTATAGTAGGACTGAGGAAAGTACAGAAAGACACATACCACCTTATTAAACATGGATGGGTATATGAAACTAGTAAAAAAGAGACCACATAAACAAAGGGGAAATTTTAGATGTATTATGATAACATTTATGTAAAATCATATATATGTGTTTTGTTATGTATACTTTTGTGTTTAAAAATATATTTTTTAGAGAGGCTATGTTTTAAGGCAGATTGATTACTCCATAACCAAATTATTACTTTTTTTTTGGGATCACAGTGATTAGTGAACTACAGTAATGAAATGAAATGAAACTCACAAGCCTTTCGAGGGGGTCTTATTTGACATCTTTGCTCCCCAACATGGAAAAAAAATTCCATCAAGACAAGCATGTCATATAGTCCATAAAGAACAAGATTAAAAGCAACAAAGAAGTCTCATAAGCTAATGTGGGCTAGTGCAAAACTTAAGTTATTGGCACTGCTTTCTCCTTTTTCATAGATGAGGATGGACTTGGTATAAGCATTATTGGAATGGGTGTTGGAGCAGATGCCGGACTTGAAAAGCTGGGAATATTTGTCAAGACAGTAACAGAAGGTGGTGCTGCTCAGAGGGATGGCAGGTAAGCAAACTACTATCATTAGTAACTAAAATCTTCTAGGAACTTTTTTTGTATTTTAGTGGTAGCTTTCTTCTTTTGATTTTTTAGGACAGAATTTTGGAGTATGTCTCAGATATGGAAAAGGTTAAAATACTTGAATTACTTTCTGATTTGTGGGTGAAATGACTGCTTTCTTTAAAGTATATTAGGTGAATGGGTAGTTGGATCTGTTATCTCTGTCTACCTTTGGTATCTGTCCATTCATCTCTCTGTCTAGTGGGAAATGGGCAGAAGCATGGATATATATTGTTTCAGATTATGTCCTGTGGAGATTAGTATATAGTTTTACTTCAGAAATATCAAACCAAATGCTAATATTTCTGGTACTTCTGAGAATGACAGAGGTAGAAGGGAAAATAGAAGCCCTAATTCTGCAATGATGATAATTCTGGAGATCACATTTCTCAAAATGCATTCTGTCTAAAAACACAAGTTCTTGAGTGCCAACTAACCCTGTAGAATTAACATCTCTCAGAGAGGAATCTGATAGTCTTTACTTAAACATCCACCTTGGGTAATTAATCTAGATACACTCCAGCACATCAGAAGATTGTTGTTTTATATCTTAGCTTTCATCATCTCAGGCTGCAAGTATCTGTAAAGAGTTTGATCAGTCCTCACTCTGCATTCCTGCTGCATTAAGTTGGGGCTGAAGAAGAGGTTAGCAATAGAAATGAAAGTAGGTCCAAAAATATCAGTCCCAAATTCAAAGGAATGGCATCTTATCTTTTTTCTTTTTAAGGAATGCAGAATAACTGGCTTTGATTTTGTCCAGGGTTTAAGTATATATCACTTAACCATCTTATCAAGAAATGATAAAGCATGTTGGAAACCATTTGTAAATCTCTGATGGGACACATAGTAGCTTTATTTCTTTTGTAATCCTAAATACACATATTGATAAAACAGATATTTTCCAAGGGAAACTAAATTGATTTTTTAAATGGAAAGCACAACCAGTATCATCTCTTTCCGTGAGGTTAGGGACAACATCACAGTCAGTAGCCTTATTTGTATTCCCAGAGCACTTGTACAGAGAAGGTCTGAAATGAATATATTTTTTTAGGATTTTATTTATTCATGAGAGACACGGAGACAGAGGTAGAGACATAGGAAGAGGGAGAAGCAGGCCCCATGCAGAGAGCCCGATGCAGGACTTGATCCCGGAACTCTGGGATCACACCCTGAGCCAAAGGCAGACGCTCAACCACTGAGCCACCCAGGTGTCCCTGAAATGAATCTTCTGAGTGAATGTTCAGTTGATTGAATGTGTATCACATTTAAAGTGGGATATTAATATTTTGTGTTAAAAGGTAATTTTGTTAACAGTCTTCCCCATTTTCAAGTAGTTAAGGAAATAACCTTTTTACCCTTTCAATGAATTATATAATGGTGGTAGCAAAATCTCCCATTATTAATTTAGAAACTTTCTTCCAAGTGAGCTAAAATTTGTAAGACCTGTGTCATTTCTCTTTAAATTTCATGAAAAGTTTAAAAACTATTCCAGAATGATAGGAAATAATTCTTATTGTTAGTATTCAAACAATATGTAGTTATTATGAACCATCTCTCCTAAGTCAATGGCCAAAAGCCAAACCAAAATACAAATTGATTAAAAAACAAAAAGGTAGAAAATTTTGTATTCAGCACTTAGCCAATTCCCATTGTTCTGAACTCAGACTTATTTGTTTCTCAATCACTCACTTTTAAAATTAGGTTTGTTTTTGGTTAACCTGTTTTATGATTTGCTGTCCTACATAGATAGTTTCAGTATTTACGCCAGTATGGGTATGAGAAGTTTGCTTTATCAGTCCCAGTGTGCATTTCCTCCTCTCTTTTAAATGGATGTTTACCTAGAATGGTAATCCTGCTGTTGTTACAAGAGATGCTTAATAAATGCCTCAGTGAATATATTAAAGGAGGCAATTTGATGAAATGAGCAGAATCTTTGGGAACATGTGACCAGGAGTCTTAATTCTGTGCCCTTTACCTACCAGCTGTGGGCTGTTGAACAAATTAACTTAATTTTCTTGTTATCTACATTGCAGGGTTGTTGTAGGCATTAAATATGTGTATGTAAATTAAAACCTTCCACAGCGCTATGAAACTGTTCTTGAAATAGGAATAAGCCTAAAATATATTTAAAAATAGTTATTATGGGGAGTCTTTTGAAAAACTATAGAAAGATGTATAAAATATGTACAGAATCATAAAATGTTAGAGATTCTAGAGATTCAGATGAACTTTAGAGATCTTTAAATTCACATCTTTCATTTTATGTGTTTAAAAACTGAGGATATATACATGTATATATAGCCTCATTATAGACCTATGGCAGTGTTCATATCTTTTAAATTATTATATTATTATTCCCACCATTGCTGTTGTGTTCATTTGCACAATACTTAAATATTTGTTGTTAAAATTTACCAGTATAAAAAAATTACAAAATAAACAGTTGATTGCTGCCTCCAGTTAATAATTTCTTTATTGTATTAAGGATTTACAAAGCACTATGATTAGTATGATGCCATTCTTTTGTGGGTATGTTTTCTATTTGTGCATCTCCCCCAGCTTCTCTTTCTCTTTCTTTCTCTTTCTCTCAAAAAATGTAGAATCAATACACAACAAAATATTGAAAGGCTCTAGTCTGTGTGGGTATCTTATTTATTCTTAAAGGTTTTTTTTTTTTAATTTATTCATTTGATACAGAGGGAGAGAGAGCGCACACAAGCAGGGGAAGCTGCAGGCAGAGTGAGAGGGAGAAGCAGACTCCCACTGAGCAGAGAACCCAACACAGGGCTGGATCTCAGGACCCTGATATGACCTGAGCCGAAGACAGGCACTTAACTGACCCGGTTACCCAGGCGCCCCTGTGTGGGTATTTTAAAATTTCAGCTAATATAAAACATTTAATTTTTCTACAGAGAGTTTGTAATCCTTGTATGTATATTTCAAACTCCAACTAAAAATAAAAAGCTAACATCATGTGGCCTCAGGAAAATTGCTCTTCAGACCTCAGTTATGGACAAAATTAAAGTTCTGGATTAGATGTTTTTAAAATTCTTTTAGCTTTAAAAGGATATAAGTCTTTTTTTCTTTAACCTTTTTAGGTTGCTTTAGTCCCCCCCCCTTTTTTTAGAGAAAGAGAGAGAGAGAGAGCATGAGTGTGTACATGCACTTGAATGCAAGTGGGGGAGGGGCAGGGGGAGAGAGAAACTTAAAGCAGATTCCTCCCTGGATGTGAGCCAGATGCGGGACATTGAGCCTGACCCCAGGCTTCATCCTATGACCCTGAGATCATGACCTAAGCTGAATTTAAGAGTACATCACATAACTGAATGAGCCACCCAGGAGCCCCTTGTCTTAGCTACTTTATCTAAGAAAATGATTTCAATTTAATCTCAGATTTGGTCACATTTCCTTCAATGGATGTTAAATAAATAGACTTGCCCAGAATATTCTTTTCTCTTTCCTCCCCACTAACTTCCCCCACACAAGAAACCTTTTTTGTTGTGATTGCTTTTCCTCCTTCTAAAATCTCATAAACTCACCATATTTTGAGCACTTTTGAAAATTTGCCATGGGCAATTATCTCTTACATCATCCAGGGTGTAGTTAAAAAGTTTGGAGTCTTCCTTACCTTTTGGTATTATGCCCTACATTCGAAATTTTCTTTTGTCAAGCTTTTCATACCTTTTCATTATGATGCCTGAAATGTAGGAGTGCTCAATAAATATTTGTTGAATGAGTGAATACTTAATGCTTTTATCACTTTCAAAACATTTGCTCAGGCCTAACATTGTTCTCCCCCCATCTCGCCACCTCCCTTCTTTTTCTTTTCTCTCTCTCTCTTCCTCTTTTTTTGTGCTACCCTGCCTCTTATAGAGCAACTGGGAATTTATCTAAGTGACATGACTTGATAGCCATTTCCACCATCTTTTAGTTTCTTTAGGTAAAATAATGATAACTACAAATATTAAATAAGATTAATTTTAGTAAAATAAAACATTAATTGTAATTAAATACACTTACTTATTAAATATTATTTTATTAAAATTAAAATTAATTAATATTTACTAAAATATTAATAAAACCATTAGCTTTGCTGCCATACATTTTATGATTGGTATGCAGGACACTAATTATTTCTCCGGTCCTCTTTCATGAATGTATAAAGCAAAATCAACTTTATAACACACTTGAAAATGCTGATAGTAGAATAAGTCATGTGGACGGTACCTGACAAATGATCGTAGTGACTCTGTGCTAAAAGAGGCAAATTAAAAATGCATTTGGGATGTGCTTTGTTTCTGGCTACAATGTTTGTTTCTCAGGTGTTTGTATGCTATCATTTTAGAACACTGTCCTGTTCAGTTTTTTGGAAAAAGTTATCGAATGTGAAATGACGGTGCTATGTAGTTTACCTTCATTCAAACCTTTTAAGGTTTTCAAACATTTTAATTATTTTTTACCAGCTCTTGGGTAACAGCAACACAGAAAACAGATGAAGAGTTTAATTCTTCGTTTCCCCTGCAGCAGAGGCTCCCTCCAGCAGAACCCATCTGTGCCCCTGGGGCGCCCTCAAGCCTGGGACAACTTGAATAGAAACTGCTGTCTTAATTGTGCCCATCTGTCATAATTCCATGGTCGATGGTTCTCCCCCACCCCGCCCTGTGCACATACTCCTGTGTCACTCTCCTCATCAAATAGACGGCGTATTCGCCCCTTAGAGAGTTGGGATATTCCTGCTTTGATATGTACATATTTTCGGTTTTATTTTATTTATTTTATTTTATTTTATTCATTCATGAGAGACACACAGACAGAGGCAGAGACATAGGCAGAGGGAGAAGCAGGCTCCCCTCAAGGAGCCTGATGTGGAACTCGATCCCAGGACCCCAGGATCACGCCCTGAGCCAAAGGCAGACGCTCAAGCACTGAGCCACCCAGGCACCCTG